TGGGTAGTACTTCCAGCTGCGCAGGGCGGCGTGGAGCGGCCGCCTGCTGCGGAACCAGAGCCCGCGATCCTGGCGGCGGCGGCGGTAGCACAGGATTTGGCACCCTTCCCGGCCCATCGGGAGGCAGGTGCCGCGGGCGGGCCCGGTCCATGGGAACCATGGGGACCGGCGCTTCCGGGCGTGGGCTGGCTGCGTGGCCTTGGCCCTGTGCCCAGGTACATGCTCAGGTAGCTGCCCATGCTCGCGGGTCAGCGGGGTCGGACCTTCGACGGGCTTTGGCTTCTGGGCGGCCCCGAAGTCTGTAGACGCGAAGCTTACGGCGCTGAGGCGACCGTTGGCATCGGGGTGTGGGACGGTTCGTGGGGCGTCGGAACCTCTGGGCACGAGGTCTTGCGCGCGCCAGGCCGGGGACCCGCGCCAGGCGCGGACCCGGGGCCTCGCGGGGCGCCCCTGTGTTCTGAGCACAGGGGATCCTTCAGCTCCCACTCTTGGCCCAGGCGCTTGGCTCTGGGTGGCGGGGGAGCCCTCCACTTTTTGACCTTGACATTTAAAGGGAGAAAATATAATAATTTGTACCAGGTCCTGAAAATTGACTGAAGGGCACTCTCTTTCATTACTGTAAAAATGAACAAAATGCACTGAATGCTCCTTTAAGGAAAAAGAGCGAATTTACTTGTATTTCTACAGAGGCTGTGTGCTTCTTCTAGAATGGTTGCTAATGTCACTTTTTGTAATTTTATTCTTTTTTTTTTAAACATCTTTATTGGGGTATAATTGCTTTACAATGGTGTGTTAGTTTCTGCTTTATAACAAAGTGAATCAGTTATACATATACATATGTTCCCATATCTCTTCCCTCTTGCGTCTCCCTCCCTCCCACCCTCCCTATCCCACCCCTCCAGAGGGTCACAAACCACCGAGCCTGATATCCCTGTGCCATGCGGCTGCTTCCCATTAGCTATCTACTTTACGTTTGTTAGTGTATATATATGTCCATGCCTCTCTCTCGCCCTGCCACAGGTCACCCTTCCCCCTCCCCATATCCAAGTCCGTTCTCCAGTAGGTCTGTGTCTTTATTCCTGTCTTACTCCTAGGTTCTTCATGACATATTTTTTTCTTAAATTCCATATATATGTGTTAGCATACGGTATTTGTCTTTCTCTTTCTGACTTACTTCACTCTGTAGGACAGACTCTAGGTCTATCCACCTCATTACAAATAGCTCAATTTCGTTTCTTTTTAGGGCTGAGTAATATTCCATTGTATATATGTGCCACATCTTCTTTATCCATTCATCCGATGATGGACACTTAGGTTGTTTCCATCTCCGGGCTATTGTAAATAGAGCTGCAATGAATATTTTGGTACATGACTCTTTTTGAATTTTGGTTTTCTCAGGGTATATGCCCAGTAGTGGGATTGCTGGGTCATATGGTAGTTCTATTTGTAGTTTTTTAAGGAAACTCCATACTGTTCTCCATAGTGGCTGAACCAATTCACATTCCCACCAGCAGTGGAAGAGTGTTCCCTTTTCTCCATACCCTCTGCAGCATTTATTGTTTCTAGATTTTTTGATGATGGCCATTCTGACTGGTGTGAGATGATATCTCATTGTAGTTTTGATTTGCATTTCTCTAATGATTAATGATGTTGAGCATTCTTTTATGTGTTTGTTGGCAGTCTGTATATCTTCTTTGGAGAAACGTCTATTTAGGTTTTCTGCCCATTTTTGGATCGGGTTGTTTGTTTTCTTGTTATTGAGCTGCACGAGCTGCTTGTAAATTTTGGAAATTAATCCTTTGTCAGTTGCTTCATTTGCAAATATTTCCTCCCATTCTGAGGGTTGTCTTTTGGTCTTGTTTATGGTTTCCTTTGCTGTGCAAAAGCTTTGAAGTTTCATTAGGTCCCATTTGTTTATTTTTGTTTTTATTTCCATTTCTGTAGGAGGTGGGTCAAAGAGGATCTTGCTGTGATTTATGTCATACAGTGTTCTGCCTAAGTCTTCCTCTAAGAGTTTGATAGTTTCTGGCCTTACATTTAGGTTTTTAATCCATTTTGAGCTTATTTTTGTGTATGGTGTTAGGGAGTGATCTAATCTCATACTTTTACATGTACCTGTCCAGTTTTCCCAGCACCACTTATTGAAGAGGCTGTCCTTCCTCCACTGTACATTCCTGCCTCCTTTATCAAAGATAAGGTGACCATATGTGCATGGGTTTATCTCTAGGCTTTCTATCCTGTTCCATTGATCTATCTTTCTGTTTTTGTGCCAGTACCATATTGTCTTGATTACTGTAGCTTTGTAGTATAGTCTGAAGTCAGGGATCCTGATTCCTCCAGCTGCGTTTTTCGTTCTCAAGATTGCTTTGGCTATTCGGGGTCTTTTGTGTTTCCATACAAACTGTGAAATTTTTAGTTCTAGTTCTGTGAAGAATGCCAGTGGTAGTTTGATAGGGATTGCATTGAATCTGTAGATTGCTTTGGGTAGTAGAGTCATTTTCACAATGTTCATTCTTCCAATCCAAGAACATGGTATATCTCTCCATCTATTTGTATCATCTTTAATTTCTTTCATCAGTGTCTTATAATTTTCTGCATACAGGTCTTTTGTCTCCTTAGGTAGGTTTATTCCTAGATATTTTATTCTTTTTGTTGCAACATACTTGTTCTGTGTTGAGATGAACTACCAGATTAGACAGTTTTTCTGGTGTTAATAGTGGATTCTGAGAAATTTAGACAGACTTTTTATTAAGTCCTCCGACACAAGGTGTTCATTTTCCAGGTAACTGACTTATTAGAAAGGGTTAAGGTGTCAGGTAAGATTATTAAGCCAACTGGCCCAGGGATTCTGGCAGTAAATTTCAAACTTTGATTTAGTCCAACTTAACCCAACTGAGCAAAACAGCAGCTTCCATAAACAACCTACAAATATGTACTGGGTTGTAGCCACTGAGATACCAAAGATAATATAAATCAGGTCCTTGTCTCCAGTCAAAGCTCATAAGCCACAGAGAGTAAATAGGAGCACCATACATGTCGACCTCCTCCTGATCATGACACACTTTCAAATATTAGACCTTAATATTTAAGTGGCAGACAAACTTAAATATTCAAAATGACACTAAAATAAGATAGCAGCAACTACAAAGCAGACTGCACTACTGGGTAACATTGTTTTGTGATATCTATAAATCCCTCTGTAGGGGGCCTTTCCACTTGGCTGTCTTTTAAGTTTATATTGCTGTTTGAACAAAACTGTGCACTGTCCTGACCACATTCTCTTTTAGCCTCAAAAGACAAAGATCTTTCATGTGCCAGCAAAAAAGGGAAATTTTCTTTGCTGCCAGCTTAATTTATGCCTCTATATGCTTCAAGCTGAGTCCCACTTTACCTCGCAAGGTGGCCCAGTCTACTCAGCTAAACATTCCAACTGATAGATGTCCCTGAAATAGTAGGCGTAATCAATTGTAGAACCAATACATTTCACACTATGGGCAAAATTGGTCATCATATTTTGGTGGTTCCAGGCACACCAGTGTGCCTTGGCCAACTGATTAAGGACCTCATCTCTAACCAGAGTAGTCAACAGCAGGGAGATGGGTGGGAACTGATGTAGTCAGAGATAGCATCTTAGAGACAGACCTCAAAGGATGGGTAAGATTTAAAATTGTAGATGCATAAATGGTGGCTATTCCAGGTGAGAAGAATAACGTCTGTTTCATTCTACAGCATAAAGAATTTTCACTTCCAATTTTCCAATTATCTTTTCAACTTCACTTCACTTCTTAACATGGGGTACAATCTCCATAACAATTCAATTTATCCAGAGTAGGTGGCACAAGTTTTCTACAGTATTAGGTCATGAAATGACAGTGCCCTCCTTTCACCTAACACGGTACAAACCCACATGCTATTGGATTTATGCCCGCAACAGTCCAACCATGCCCTCCCAAATTTGATTTCTGACTTTCTCTTTTATCCATCGAATGTTTGTCAGAACACAAAATCCCCTTGACACTTTTCAGGACCAACCCTATCTGACTCTTTCCCAGCATTTGTCACTGTCAGCCTTTCCCGCATTTAAGCCCTTCTCTCGCTTACTCTGACACCGCACTCTTGGTTCTCCTCTCCTGATCATTCCTTCTCAGACTCTTTTCCTCTGTCCCTTAAGTGCTCCCCAGGGCTCAGATTTTGGCCTTTTTCTCTCTTCTCACTCTACCCGCTCACAACGGGAAACTGTCTGGGGATCCTTATAACTGCGAAATACCTTATCTGAGGTAAGCAAGCCCCTTAACGGGGCTCACTAGCTCTCAGACATTACTCTGCCTTGGTTAAATAAAACTGACTCACAGGAATAAATAATGGGGAAAAGTTTGTTAGCGAAACTTCCAGCTACCGAATCTGCCCAGGAGGCAGGGACCACAACAGGAAAAATTTTGTAAGGAGTCTCAACTGAAACTTATTTTTTTGTTGTTTTTTATTAGGAACACAGGCCTTAAAAAGATAAGCACTTCTGAGCTTGTTTCCTAAGACATCCTATTTATCGGAATCCATTTTTAGACAGGACGTTCCAAGCGGGCTGGACTACACAATCGCGTTCACTGAGCTAACCCCAGCACCAGCCTGGGCCGGTTTGCGGCTTGTCTATTGCGCGGTGGCTCTGCCTGCAGTTCAGCCGTGGTGCGGCCCACTGGGGCGGGAGAGCAGGAAACGGAGCCACGGTTGCCTCTGCTGAGAGGTGCTGCATTCAGAATAACTCCTCGAGTAGCAGCAGACACGTGCCACAGGCTTAGGGCGTTTCCTCCCGGCTTCACCCAGGTTCTCCCACAACGAAAACAATCTAGGGAGTTGCCTCAGCCACCACATGTCTCGGAGCGTGGACTGCTCCGCCCGCGCAACCGCGTGGTGGAGGGCGGGGCCCGTCCCTGACGTCACACAGGGCTCCGCCCCTTAGGGGAGAGGCGGGAGCGCGTGAGCTCTGTTACGCAGGCGCGTTCGTCCTTTATAAATGGCGCTAGAGGCCGACGGTGGGGGTGTAGGGGGAGGGTGTTGCCGCCATTTTGTAGGATGTTTGTCGCAGCGACTGGGAGAGAAGACGGCGGTTTGGTGACAATTACTGGCCAAAGGGCCTTTTACTTTTGCGGAGGTAAGGTTTCGGATAGGGTGTTCTGGGCTGGGCGGTTTCCCAGTCTTTTAGGTCTCGAAGCCACGTGTCGGAAAAAGGACGGGATTCGGGGCCTCGGCAACGGGGGTTTCTTCGGGGCACAGCTCTGCTCGTGGCATTTGAAACCTAAAGTTGCCCAGGTGTCATGGTAGATTTAAAATCCTAGGGCGGAAAGGCCTCGGCTCTGCTGCTGACTCTTCTCAGAGAGGCCAGGTCACTCATCACGGCTCCTTAGGCCCGTGACTCGTCCCGCCGATGAGGGTGAGACCCTGCGAGAGCCTCCTGGGGCAAGTGTTGTCCTAGATCAAGCCTTATTCTGGGTCCCTGGCCTCGGCCGTTTGTAGCATTCTGGGATTTTCCGAGGTCAGACTTATGCCTCTGAGTGCGCCAAAGGCCCTGACCAGGTGCCCTGGCGGAGAGGCGGGGGGTGGGGACTGGGCGTCCGAGGAACTGCTAGTTTGCGAGTCCAGGTGGTGGAATTTAGCTCGTGCTTGTGAGAGGTAAATACGGAGAGGCTCATCCTTTGTGCGAACTGTTTTTTTCCTAAAGTGGAGCATAGTATTGTTGCATCAGATCTGCATTTCTGATACTTCTGCATCACACTGTCCTTGATTACTTAAGTAACCGTGAAATGCTTATACTATTCTTAGGAAACAGCGCTCCAAACTGACCACGTCAGCCACCTGGTCTTATTTTATAGCTATCTTTGTATGATTGTGCGCCATACATACACCCACAGGCTTCTTGTTATCCATTACATACAGTACTCTTGGAGCCATCTAATCATAACTTTAACCTATATAGATATTTTAATATAGATAACGTAAAATTGTCGGGTAATACAGGGTGTTAAAGGGCAGTAGAGAATCAGGTTTCTAAGATGGATATAAACATCCGATGTTTATTGTATCTGATGTTTTTATTGAAGGATGTCCGATGATTCTAACATGTAGGATTCTTTGTTAATTAGAAATAGTGTGATAATTCTAGATAGTTTTTCTTTTTTTTGTATGCGAAGGAACCTAATCTGTGTAACCTGGATCTGGGATTCTTCTCTTGGCCTCCGGAGAAAATATTTCTGAACAGTAGTGGCGGCGGGGGGGCGGGGCGGGAATGGCTTCCTAACAGCTGAATTAAATTTAAAGTAATGAACTTGGCTAGAGAAATAAAAACCTTTGGCTCTCCCAAGATGCTTATTTTAATATTTGCATATTGATAACTGTGGTTATTTAAGAATTCTGCCTTGATGAGCTAGTTATGGCCTACTGACAGTAGAAGGAAAAAAACAGAACTGAAGCAGACACACGTTTTGCAAAAACTGCATAATAGTCATAGTAATAAACCTCAGTCATCAGATGTTGTAATTTTGCTTGCTATGATTTAAGAATGCTTAACTAAACAATTTTAAAGAGTTCCTGTGTGGTTAAAATACAATTTGGGTAATTGAAGGGTCAGAAGAATTCCACTAGAAATATAATTTTTTTTTTGATGGCTTTTCTGATGGTCTTTTGGCTCAGGTTAATTTGTAATGTCATTTATTTCAGTTTCCCATATTCAAATGACTATGTAAATCAGAATGCTCACTTATCAATTTCCAGTGAGAGCCCTGAGTAGAGTTTTAGGATTTTTGTTGGACCTAAGAATCAACAAGAGAAGTGAGTTAAAAGATCTGAATATTTGGTGGCTTCGGGCTCTGATGGCATGATACCTACATTTTCTTAGGGAATACCTCCCAGGAGATGCCTCATTTTAAAGTCTTTTAATTCATTTGAAGTCTTTTAAATTTTTTACTTGAATTTGTTGGCTTGTTATTGAGTCATTTGGGCTAACTGAAGGGGGTTAACTAAGTTGGTTTTGCTCCATTTTACCTGTTTTCAGCTCCTTGCTGAGTTGTGAACCTCACCCTCTTCAACAGTTTGGACATCACTGTTAAAAACTTAACTGCTTTGTGAAAGAATTAAGATGGGAAGAGGCAGATAGGGATGACATTGTTAGAACACAGATCCTGATCCTGAATGGAACCTGTGAGGATGTAGATGGAGTCAGGGAATTGTCACAATTATCTGATTTCAGTGTGACCATATTCATCCTTATAGGTTCATTTCTTTAGTCACCCCAGATCTACAACAAATATGTTTAATTTTAAGAATGGCTGCAGGATGATCTGAAAATAAACAGTCATCTCCTATATTCAGTATCCCTAAGTGTTTCTCTGACTTCAGTTATTTGTATCACAGTATTTCGACAAAGCTGCATGACACTTGTGATATTTGTTTTAAATTAGTTCACATTTAAAGTTAACATCAATAACTTAATAATTTGATTATATCAATAACTTAAGAGATTAGTAATAATTTACCATAGAAAGAAGGTAATGATAAAAATAAAACCAAAAAAGTTATTAATTTCTAGCTAGATATTGTTGTCTACTGAAGGCTCTAAGCCTGAATCCTGACTCTTTTTTTAAAATGGCAGTTAGCAAGTGTTAGTTGAAGATATGCACCAAGCTGAGAATTTATCCAGAAGAATTGAAAGAAAATGTATTAAGGTCTCACAGTGTTATCATTTAGTACTAGGTGTGTATACCACTTAGAATCATCTGACATACCAGTGGGATAGTGCCTCCATGCCCTGGGAACCATTACCTACGAAGATTTTAGAACCTGTACAACCCTATGTGCTGGGGTTTTTCTATTTAATATTAATGTGAAATATTTTATTTACTAAATATAACCATCTGTAAATTCCACAACTCACTTTTCATTTCCATTAACAGATGAGGCATTCCAAAAGAACTCACTGCCCTGACTGGGATAGCAGAGAAAGCTGGGGACATGAAAGCTACAGTGGAAGTCACAAACGGAAGAGGAGATCCCACAGTAGTACACAAGAGAACAGACATTGTAAACCACATCACCAGCTTAAAGAATCTGATTGGTAAATTACGCTTGACCTAGTACCATTTTAACACTAATAGTTTTAATGACTTGTCATTAGCTTATATAGCTTTCATCTGTCAGATTGTTTTATAAATCAGTCAACAAATACTCATTTAGAAAATATTTACTGAGTGCCTATTATATGCTAGACACTGCTGTGAATAGAACAGAGTTCCTACCCTCACATATCTGTGTCCATTTCGGAGCTGTAGGAGACAGTTGATTGAGTCCCAGCTGCCAGTAATATAGTTGGGGGAAATGAGACACACAAAAGTTAAGTAAGTGATTAAAGGACCAGTGAGTGCCTTTAACTTGTATGTAGTAGGGAGAGCTGTACATTGGGGCACTTATTTAGGGTTCCACAAATGAGAGATAATGAAGGGTGGGGAAGAGTTCATCCAGATGAGAAAAATAGCATGTGGTGTGTGAGAATGTTAAAGTGTGTTGGGGATTAGTTGCTTATACTGTATTCTACAGGTTATATTTGTAGATAAGGCCAGTAGATATGTTTGGGATTTTTAGAAGCTTGGCTGTTGTAAGAAGGGCCTCAATAAAAATTTCCAATGGCATGTGTCCTGTTCTATTGTATTCTTACCAGTGTAAAATTTGGAGGTAATACATTTATATAGAATTGAAGGAATTTTTCAAGTTCCTAAATGATTAAACAAAGCCTAGGTGAATAGAGTTTCTTTCATTCTGTCCTCCATTAATTTCCCTCTCTCATTTGTTTTTGTTGGTTCTATGTTTTCTCCTTGTTTTGTGCAGATGTTCCACTGGGACTGTTTGCCAGATTGCTTTCTAAATTAGCCAACTGGGGTTACTTTAAAAAACAATATGTAATTTTTTTCCTTCTCCATGCCAAAACAGACTTGTTCTGTAGAACAGTGAGCTTGTTGGTAATCAGTGCAGACTAATCATTCTTCACACACTATCATATGGAGGGAAGAGGGAGAATCTATGCCAGGATTTCAATGACCTGAGCTAATTAATGTATTATACAAGAATATCTGTACCCTATATTAAGATAAATACAAAATACTCTGTAAGGCTTAACATATAGTACTAACCATTCATGGATTTATTATGCATTGTATGTGTAGAAAGGAAGTGATATGAATGATGAATGATATGAATGATGAATTCATATTCATAATTAACCACATAAAGATGTTACTGAGTCAGTGCAATAACCACTAGGCCAATAGTTTCTTCTTTGATATTGGCACCAGAGATGTCTGGTGGTAATTGCTCTCTAATCTGGAGTAATCTAATAATCTTTTTCAAGATTCAAAACTTTACAAGAGTGTTTTTTGTAAAATTATTGGAAAAAAATGAAAAATACAGAAGCGTATAAAGAAGGTACGCTTGGTAGGATGCTAGTCCCCCATTTGGATGTAAAGTTATTTCTTATTCTTCTGAAAAATATTTTTGTATACAAATCTTTGCCTCTGAATATTTCCTGAAAATAGGTTCTAAGAAGGGACAGTTTCAAGTTAAAGGGTGTGAACTCTTATAAGGCTCTTGCTACATATTCACATATTTTTCTAGAAAGTTTGTACCAAGTTACACTCCTACGACATGCTGTCACCAGTCTTGCCTATTTTGAAATGCCAAGAATAGTGTTTTGTTTTATTTGAATTTTTAAATTTCTGCTGAATTTGTCCTCTGTCATGTGCTTATTGAACACTTGAACATTTTTTTAATTGAAGTATATTTGATTGTGAACATTATTTTTGTATTCTTAGCCTATTTTTTCTATTAAAGTGTATTTTTCTTATGATTTATCAGCGCTTTTATTGGTTATCAATTATCTTACCTTTTTTCATATATATTTCAGAGTGTCTTTTCTTTATGATTTGTAAGTAGCCTGTGAATTTCTCCCTTCCTACAGGCTTAATCAATTCTACACAGGAAGACTGATGTGGCTGTGAACACTGTGAACACATTTTATATCCTTAAATGTCTTGTTGTAACATAGAGTATCAAGCCTTAAACCAGTGATTCTCAAACTTTAGTGTGAATAGAATCACTTTGGAGGTATGTTTAAAATGCATATTACCAGATTATTCAGTGAGTCTGACCTGGGGTCCAGGGATCTTCATTTTTAAAAATTCAATATTTCGATATTGTTAATAAACAGACCACCCTTTGAGAAACACTGTTTTAAGCCCTTTAGCCCGGCATACAAGATTTTGGATGATCTGTTCCCAGCTTATTTATTTGCCTATGTTCCCCTATGTGAAAATTGCTCTTGCTGAAATTGTCTACTTACTATTTCCTAAGTAACATGTAGACAAACTCATCTCTAAGCCATTCTGGCTAAAAGTGCTCTATAAATGTAAGATGGTAATATGCCATTTTTCTTTCCTGGCATTTCTTCTACTTCCCACTTTGCCCAAATCCTGATTTCCCTTTAAGATGCAACTGTTCCCTTCTTTTTCATGAAATCTTCCCTGACCATTTTAAGCATTTTGAGTTTTTTCTCCTAAGCACTCATATCCAGGCTTTCAACATTTCCTGCATTGTTGAGTTTTGTTTTATTCTTGTATGAGTAATCTCAAACTGAACAGTTATTTGTTGGCAGGGATTTTGCCTCATATATATTTTTTACCTTCCACAGGACCTGTGTGGAAATAAAAACAAATGCCCATAGCCTCATTAGTCTTGGCTGTTTTGAAGAACTACAGTGAAATATTCACTGGACATTCAGTGAATATTTTTAGAAATTAAATCAGTCTGTTCATCCTGTTCACTGTGTCCATATAGCCTTTATAATTCTGTAGACTTTGTTTATATAATCTCTAAGCCTTGGTTTTTATAGGTTGAAGAGGTCCTCATCTTTTTAGTTTATCCTCATGGTATTACTTCACTCTATGTTTGTTATTCTTTAGATTATTTATGGATTATCAGCAGCTCTAATTTCATGCACTAGTCCAGCTAAGGATTATTAGTGTTAGAGTTTTCCGATAAATTTTAGACTTTTATGGGAAGGATGCCTTACAGAATTAAACAGATGCCCTTTAGAGTATGGTAATTTCTAGTTTGACGTATTGTAGATCTCTCCCTTAATGGTTCCAAGCAACTGATCAGATCCCTGACTTAGACCCAGATTTAGACCCTAATATCCTGAGTTGTTTCTCCAATGGCTAGAACTTAAGGCTGACACTGGGGAAAGGGGGTTTCTGCATCTCCCCAGCCTGGATTTGATGCCAGCCCTGTTGAGTAGCAGTTTTAGAGATGCTTCTCCTTTATTTCTGTGTAAACCAGCCTCCTGAGAAAACAAATGACAACATATTCTGGGAAAAAGAAAGAGGTTAGTGAGGGCAGTCTGGTTAACATCTGTCACTCCATTGCTTGTCAGGATTATTTTAGCTGGTGTGTCTGACTGGGCAGGTGTCCCCTCTCTCCCTCAGTGCTCCATGTGCACTGAGGGATCTCTAGAAGCTTCACACTCTGTTGAAAAGGACACTCATCCCAGGTAGAGAGGGGGATGGGAAACTGGGCCAATTGAATCTTTTTCTTTCCATCAGATCAAGGCTGCTTAACTGGAATCCATTGACTTCCTGAGGTCCATGACCTCTGAAATTCCTTGCCAAGTTTTGTTTACGCATTTGTGCGTTTCTTAGGGGAGAGGGTCCATATCTCTCAATGAGATTTTCAAAGGGATCTGTAGATTCAGAAGTTAAGCACTATGGCATTCTTGTTTATTTCACAAGCAGGAGTGACAAATTCAAAATGCAAAGGGAAGTAGGGGGTTGGGAAATCCTAAGCAAGCAATTACAAGAACCTTTTCTCATTTGAGGGGGATATATTTTAGATATTTTTGGCACATGAAGCAGCCTTCAAAAGCTGTGTTGTCTATTTCTCAGAGAGATACAGGAAGCTCGAAATAGAGGAGAGGAGATGGAATAGGTGGTGTGTATAATAATACTGGCACATACAATAGGATTTAGAATGTGCTCTACAACCATGGCAAATCATTTTCCTTCTAGGGATCTCAGTTTAGTCATCTGTAAAATGAGAGGCCTGAAATATATTTAAGATTCCTTTAGCTCTAATACACCTTTCATGAAAGAACTCTGTGTGCCAGAGATACCTAACTTACATTAAGAAGGAAAGGAATCCTGTTTTGCCTGCCTCATATTGTGTGTGGCTCTGAAAAAAGGAAGAGAGCTTAGTTACAGATGCATATATCACAAGATTGATGAATTTCAGAAGAGCAGTTTTGTGAATTTTTGGTCTTAACTTTCCCCAGAAGGTAAAGGGACACTTAATCAAGTAAACACTGAATATGTTGAATGATTTGACCCAAGCTTTGTTCCTTCATAGCAGTATATATTAATAGAGATATGTTCCCCTTTACTTGTTGGTTAAAGTAAAATTACTTCTTAAGTTTTGTGAGTTAAATATAAATTCTAATTCATCAATTTGTATTTTTTTCTTTTATTGAGTTAGCTGTTTTAAACCAGGAATTCTTGAGAGAATGTTTTATTTTAACCACGTTATTCTAGAATGAAGAGAGTAATTTTAAATCCTTTAATGTGTTTGCAGTCATTATTTAGAAGCAGGGTCCTTGAATGAGAGAGATTATCGGGACCGGAGATACATTGATGAATACAGAAATGACTACTGCGAAAGATATGTTCCTAGACATTATCACAGAGACGTTGAAAGCAGTTATCGAATCCACTGCAGGAAATCTTCAGTCCGAAGCAGGAGAAGCAGTCCTAAAAGGAAGCGTAATAGACACTGTTCAAGTAATCAGTCACGTTCGGTATGACTGATTTTGTTTTTATTTTGGGTGGATACTTATCTGTGTGTAAAAGCTCTTACTGAGCCAATAAATTTGAAAAAGTTTATAATACTATATGAATATAATTGTGTTTATATTACTTGAATCCTTAAAGGAAACTTCCAAATTCTTACAACTAATCTGTATTTATTAGTTAGCCCTCATTTGCCCACATTTACTCATTTTCTGCAGACCAGATCATGAGTTTCTTGATTTTAATGTTAAAAATATTTTTATCTTTTATAACATAATCATACGAAAAGATGAAGCACCCATCTTTTCTTTCATCTTAAACGTTTTTTACTTTAAAAGAAACCCCTTTCCCAGTACTTGGAGACAAATGTAGAAAGTTGCACTGGCGGATACTTACCCTGTGTATAGCACAGGCTCCAATTAGTTCCATTGGAGTTCTGAAAGTGGGTGCTGAAGGGGAAATTATTGTCCAGAAAGCCTGCCCTTTTTTTTTTTACACTCATGAATCTTCACTTGTTTGCAGTAAACTATGAATTATTATTTTCCTCCCCAAGTTTTCTTCAGTAGAACTATCATTGATTAGATCGAACATTGACATTAGCCTTTATTTTCCCCTTTTATTTTAATTATGTTTAAAAATATTGCTAAATATCAATTTGAACTAATCTTGACATTTTAAAACATTTTCCTGACAAACTAGACATCTCAACTCACAGCATAGGCTATTTTATAACAAGAGATTAATAGATCATGACATTGCATTCTTTAAATTTCAGACTTCAATTAAGTCAGTATTTTAAAGAGACAATTGTGTTGTTTTTTTCTATTGCCACTTTAAGTATCTTATCTGAAAATCTGTTCCTTGCCATGTTTTTCTTCTGTAACATAAACTGTGCCTTGTGAATTTCTGGGGACTGAATTTGAAATTGCTCCTGCCAACTGTTCGTGGCCTGGTGCTTATCTGAATGCCTGAATATCTCCCCGCTGAATGAATTGCGTATTCTGCCCTGAATTCACTCTGATATATTGATTGGCTGGATGATCTTGGTGCTGCCCACTTGCCGTTCCAGAAGAGCCACCGAAGGAAAAGATCCAGGAGTATAGAGGATGATGAGGAGGGTCACCTGATCTGTCAAAGTGGAGACGTTCTAAGAGCAAGATGTATAGAATATTTTTCAACACTTTTTAAACTTTTCAGACAGAATAATCTTTTTAAGAATAGTTTGTCAGCGGGGGGCTAAAGAACTCTTCATTGCTTTTTTGTTTTGTTTTTCGTGGGTTTGTTTGTTGTTCTTTTGTATTTCTTCTTTTCTATAGAGTTTAAATATTTCTACTCTAAAGTTCCAAAATAATCAGTGGAATTTGAGATTAGAGCAAGAATGATAGCTCTATCTAAATTATTTTTGTAGCAGCTGAAAATAAAATAATTTGACAGCTGGAACCTTAATTATGCTTTAATAGAGATCATTTGAAAATATTCCACACTTAAGCATTCATTATTTGAATAACTGATAATTTGTACGCAGGTACTTACACTTCTTTCTCCCCCCTCACTTTAGATGAAATCGTGGACACTTTGGGAGAAGGGGCCTTTGGCAAAGTTGTAGAGTGTATTGATCATGGCATGTAAGTTTGTTGTTTTTCTTTTTTGAACATTCTGATATTTTTGGTGGAGAAGGATCCATAATTTAAATGAACTGGAATTTAAGTGGTAACTATGTGTTTTCTTGGGAGGTATAAGTATTCAAAAGTTCTTGAACTGTGTATGATTTATTTACCGTAAGTATGGATTTTGATCAAGAATGCTAAGAATTTTTATCAGATGGAGTTCATCGAAATTAATGTGAATGTTCAAGTGAAGAGTTTCCTAGAACTTAGGTCCTTAGCTTTCTATAAGAGATTTGGAGTGCTTTACCCTACTTTTGAAATGCAGAGACAATAAGTTAACATGTCTAATCTTGGTTCAGAAACTTTTATTTCCAAAGGAAATGTTTTCTTCTAGGATCTCTATTCTGTGGTTGCAAGTTTTTATGTAAGTGAATGTCTTAAAACAGTTTAGTGGAAACTGCACATTTCTAAATTGACATCTAAACTTTTCTTCATAAAATAGTTGAGGATGTAATTTCCAGCTTACTGTAAATGCTGATTTTTTTTAAAAAAACATATCTCTCTTTTTAAATGTTTGGAGGAATCTAAATACAACAGCTTGATACCTCCTGTCATCCATGAACAAACTTTTCTTGAATACTTAGAAATGCTGTATCCTTGAACTTACTTTTACTTCATTTTTCATAGAGAATATTATCCTAAGTGTCTTTTATTATCACCCTTTCCTCTCTATGACAAAAATGTGAACATAAAGTAAAATTTTAAGATATTTTGAAATACTTTGACTTAGGAAAGTTGCTAAGAATTCCCATATATTCTTCACCCAGATTCCACAAATGTTAACATTTTACAGTATTTAATCATTCTCTATATTTACATGTTATATGTATTTTCAAGTTTTGCCAGCTCATCTACAGACCTGATTCACATTTCACTAGTTGTCCCATTAAGGTCTTTTAAAAATTTCTTGAGGTTCTAAGACTTGAGTATTTGAGATATTCCAATGAATAGTATTCAATTGATCAAGTACAAATCTGTTACAAATTTTGATACTTATTAGACCTAAAACATACAGTTTGAAAATATATCTTTTATTGAGATGGTTGGGGCCTTTAAAAAATGAGTTCATGTGTCCATAGATAAATCTTACTGTTTTAGCATTAAGTTTCCATTTTTCGTTTTTTTTAATTGACAAGTAATATGAAAACTTGTAAGTTTAAGGTGTATAACGTTGGTTTGAAACATTTATATACTGCAATATGATTACTATAGTAGCATTAGCTAACACCATTATCCATTTTTCATTTTTATAGCTATTAGCACTGTTCATTTTTATAGCTTATTAGCAGTTAGAAAACTTGGCCATATGATTAAATAGATGAGACTAGAAAAAGTTTTGTCACAGCAGTTTTATAGTAATTCTTGTAAGTCTTGAGATATATGCTATACATCATAGGGAGATAAATCATTAAAAATTTATTTTGATGATTATATATCAGCCCACAACTTCATTGGGGCCTTGTCAAAGAAATGAGTTTGGAATAGGTTTGCTATCCAACCACTAGAAAAATTTGTTTGCCTCAAAGATTTTTTTTTTTTTTATAAACAGCCTAGAGCACAAACCTTACCATATTAATTTCGTGTGCATGGGGTTCTCTTTTGTAATGTGGGAAGGCCATAGTGAAAAATGCAGGGTTGACTGCTGGCTTGTATTCAAGAAGATCAGGTTTAGAAAAGAGGACAGAAGGAAGCTGAAGATTTGGAAATCCCTTTCCTCAAAATCATTTATGGCTTTTTTTTTTGGCCGCACCACGTGGCTTGCGGGATCTCAGCTCCCCGACCAGGGATTGAGCCTGGGCCTACGGCAGTGAAAGCTCATGTCTTAACCACTGGACCACCAGGGAATTCCCTCTGTACTTTTTAGGAAGTATTACAGATGTCCCGGTCTAAAACACGCTGCCCTACATTGTTGCTATTTATACCTATTCGCATCCGTGAATGCACTAAACATTTTTTTGGCTTCATGACTTATTGGTGTCTCCTTTGCCGGAATTATCTAACAAACTGATAGTTGTCTTTCTTCTCTGAAGAAGTCTAAGCTCCCCTAACCCTGATGGTTAGGCTCTTTCTTCTCTCTACTCCTTATACCAGGCACTTCTAACCTTATGATAAGTTGTTCAAGTGTCTGTCTTTTCCATTAGACTGTGAGGTACATGGGACAAGCCCTTTTTAACACTGATTCCAATGCAACATCTGGCACAGTCGCTAGCCTGGTGAATGAGTGAATGCTTTCAGCAGTAGTATGTTCTATTCAAGGTTTATATTTTTATCCTTTTTTTTTAAAAAAACTACTTATAAAATCTAGGTAAATTTAAACTTTTGGAAACAAACATTAACGTTGATAAGTATTAAGAGAAATCATCACTCCGTATAATGTATATTTTGTCAAAATGTTTCGAAAAAATGTTTATAGATCTGCTATAATATACCCTGAAAGATTATTTTAGGAAAATAGCATAGAATGATTGGTACTTAATAAGATTATGCTTTAGAGCAGGGGTCCCCAACCCCTGGGCTGTGGACTGGTAGGAACTGGGCCTCACAGCAGGAGGTGAGCAGTGGAGGAGCAAGTGAAATTTCATCTGCTGCTCCCCATAGCTTGCATTACCACCTGAAACATCACACCCTTCCCCCACCATGGAAAAATTGTCTTCCATGAAACCGGTCCCTGGTGCCAAAAAGGTTGGGGATAGCTGCTTTAGAGGATACATGTCTTCAGTGCCCTTCTGTACATTTACCATTTTCATTTTGTTTTTAAGGGGTGGCATGCATGTAGCGGTGAAAATCATAAAAAATGTGGGACGATATCGTGAAGCAGCTCGTTCAGAAATCCAAGTATTAGAACATTTAAATAGTACTGATCCCAATAGTGTCTTGTAAGTAATAAACTTGGAACTGTGATCCATTATGTTACATGAAATAATCAGAATTCTGTGAACTGAATTATTTTTATTCTGATCTGTTTTAGCCGATGTGTCCAGATGCTAGAATGGTTTGATCATCATGGTCATGTTTGTATTGTGTTTGAACTCCTGGGACTTAGTACCTATGATTTCATTAAAGAAAACAGCTTTCTGCCATTTCAAATTGACCATATCAGGCAAATGGCATATCAGATCTGTCAGTCAATAAATTGTAAGTATACTTGTTAAATTTTTAAATACCAGTAAATTAAAGGTTTTATTGTACAAGCAACATATCAAAACATTGTCACTAAAAATGCACATTGCAAGTAAAGATGAAACCACTTTTGATCCCTACCTCTACTACTAATTCTCCTGTCTTCCGGTACAGATTAAATTTGTAAGTGAAACTAATAATGTCTTTTTGTTCTTTTGTAGTTTTGCATCATAATAAATTAACCCATACGGATCTGAAGCCTGAAAATATTTTATTTGTGAAGTCTGACTATGTAGTCAAGTATAATTCAAAAATGGTAAGTTACACTTGTTTTAATTTTGGTAGTTGTCTTTAAAATTAATTTAGCTTGGTGATCCTTGGATGAGGAATTTTACCTTTGAGGCTTATTATATCCTGATGTTTAACCCAAAAAGGGTAATCCTTTGCCTTTCTCATGGGGTTATTTTGAAAATCAAAAAGATAATTCATGTGCAAGCCTTTTGGATAGTGCTATAAAATATTTCATATCTTTATTGATCTTTGTGTTTACTTAACTGTATCTCTAGAAACGTGATGAACGCACACTGAAAAACACAGATATCAAAGTTGTTGACTTAGGAAGTGCAACATACGATGATGAACATCATAGTACTTTGGTATCTACACGGCATTACAGAGCTCCAGAGGTCATTTTGGGTTAGTAGATACCAGACTTCCTGATATTTTAATTGAAAAAGAGATTTTTTGTTCTCTACAGCTTTTATTGGGGGGCAGGTAGTTGGGGGATAGCTGTAATTTTCTTAGCAGTGTACAGAAAATGTTTTCTGTTTTCATAAAAGCTGTCTGGACATTGCTATAAATATTTTTCCTGAGTGGGAAAAATGTGATATCATCTGTAAAGATATTCCAGGTTGTGGTTATTTTTGAACAAGTCAGTCTTACAAGATCATAAGAGAACAAGCTGTATTGGCTAAGTACATGACAGCAGTATGATTTTGAAGCAATGTGGGCACCTCTTTTCGTCTCATCACAAATCATGGTGCTGGTGAAAATGCTAAAGATTGGGTTGGCAGACGTCTAGATGTAGGGTGGATGGAGGTTAAGAGGAGAAGAAAGAGGGGCTAGTCTAAGAGGAGAGCTTCTTTGATCATCTTTGACATGAGAAAGCATAGAAAGGAAAATTAGTTAAGGTGCAGGGTTTTAAAATATTAATAAAAGGGAACTCAATGAGGGAGAGCGCGTCTTATGCCTCAAAATTTAAAAGTTCGAGACCAAGTCATGTTGATAGAGCAAGGAAGTCAGAAATGGCTTTGGGGGCTTGGAGACAGTGGGAAAAATTCAGATCAGGTGATATTGGGAGATAGTTAAATGGTATAAACATATTACTTCACCAAAAGTAAGTTTCAACCGAGGTTGGATAGTAAAACATCTTTGTGGAATCAGTCTTTTCCACTTTTTACCTTTTGTCTAAGAGGACTTGGTAGTTCAGAATATGAATGTGAAAGCAAACTAATGATGTTTACCTAGAGTAGAGAATTAGTAAAAGGGACAGGAAATTAAGAATATTATGTAGTGCTGGCTAGTAGAACTTTCCATGATGATAGAAATGTTCTATATCTGCACTACCCAACATGGTAGCAATTAGTAGCCACACGTAGACTACTGTGTACTTTCAGTATAGCCGGTGTGACTGAGGAACTGAATTTTAAATTAATTTAAATTTTAGATTTAAATAGCCACATGTGGCTAGTGGCTACCAAATAGGATAGCACAGGTTTGGAGCTCATCTTTGAGATTGATGTTACTAGGATTTCTGCTTAGTATGGTCTGAAAGAAGCTGCTGTGTTGCAGTAGTTTAGAAAGTGTATTCATGGTTGAGGACTGAAGGCTGCAATGAAGGTAAAAGAAAAGAGTGTGGGAAGAGATTGTGGACAGAGATGTATTTTCAGAGCTTAAAAAGAGATAACTTGCTGTGTTTTATCAATTTTAAGAAGAAGATTTTTCTCTACATTTTAACATGTGAGGGAACATAACACAAAACAATTGGCATTTTTTCTTTGTTATTGGTTTGTAAAATAGTGGTGTATCTTACAGTTAGTTAATGGCCTCCTCCTAGATTGCATAAGATACAGTGATTCTTAGTAATAATACAGTCCCATGCGTGGCCAGGCTGGGGATAGTTGATATAAATCTGAAATTGGGGTTATTGGTCTTTAGGAAAAGAAATGAACAGATGGGAAGATTAGAAGGGTTCTTTGTGTGTTTGTGAAGTGTTACTCCTGAGGATTAAGGCAGAATTAGGTTGAAGAGGAAGATGTTGTCAGTTGCTACCATTGAGGAGGGCAGTTGGTCTCATGTCTTGGGTGTTGGTAGTAAACAGAAGTTGGTAAAAGTGAATGATGTGAAATTCCAAAGAGTATGAGAGCTGACGCATAAGAGAATGAGGTAATTTACAGTCACTTGGGAGAAAGCTGGACTGGGAGACAGGAGTGGCTGGAAAAGAAAACTTTCATCTTAGATCCAGGCTCTGTCATTTGCAGATTTTGTATGTGTTACTGTAAGTAGAAACCATGCTCCATTATCCTTTTGTTCAAGTGATAAGTACCATGAGGGTTAACAAAAATGGCTAAATCATAGTCAAGTTCCTTGAATATATCGTTTCTTCCTTTGTCTTTAAATTCAGTAATGTTACTGAAAGTAATTGAAATGTCTTTTAAAGTAGGATTTATTTGTACATTATTGTTTTATTAAAAACTTAATCTTTAAAAGGTTAAAACATCTGTATGGTTTACTCTTTTCCTTTCTAATTAGATATAGACTTAAGGCTAGGTGTTTTTTTCTTTTCTGAATAATGTTACTCTTGAGAATTCTGAAGGAGAAAGTATATATGATCATATATAGACAACCTGAAAGTACATATATAGATACCTCTCTATGTGAACTTTAAAGAGCTATATAATTCTGCTTATGGGTGACACTGCTTATAATATCCATTATAATTCTTACATAATTTATGTGACACTACTATTTCTTTTAATGGAAGAAATAAACTCAGATATCAAGCTGATGGTAATTGATGAGGGGTTAGTAATTACATTCTGAGGATAATTATTGATCTATGTTTGCACTAATAAAATGTAAAATTTCATAGAACAACCGTTAACTGGGTATAACAGTGCTCCTCATTGCACAAGCAATTCAGAGACTATGGAATATATGCTAATCCTTCTTATTTTACGTAAAATGCTTCCTCCCCCAGGTTAAAATACTGTAATTTGATACAAGGATATGGAGGACTGAAAGCATAGTGAATAATGTTTGATATAAAACTAAAAATGTAAACCCTGAATTTACTATCATATTCTCCTAAATAGGCTATATAAAGAGAGCACCCACATAGGAAAAGATATTGTGTATTGGCAATTAAAAATTGTTGCATAATACAATGTTTGGTTTTGTTTTTAAATAGCTTTAGGTTGGTCTCAGCCTTGTGATGTTTGGAGCATAGGTTGCATTCTTATTGAATATTACCTTGGTTTCACAGTCTTTCAGGTATGTATTTAGTAAATGTTATTTACTGATTCATTATGAGCTTTAATGTTAAAGGCATGTTAAAGTTTTGGTTTCCATATTGGAAAGTTGCCATAGTGTCATTATTCTTGAGATTAAAACTTACATGTGCAAAATAGTCATCCTTCTCTAAAACCATAGTTGAATGAAATACTCCCAGTGAATGGTCATAATTCATTCTGCATGTGGAGCTTTTAAACACATGGTTCATATTGACTTCATATGATCTGTTTTATTGTGGTGCTCCTTCATAAATTTACATTAGTGTTACTATGGTCAGTTTTAATTCGGCTCTGGTTATGTTGCACTTTTATTAAAAGAATTCAGAAACAGTAAGTTGTATTAAGCATCTATGACACCCTAGGCACATTTCTAAGCACTATGTGTATAAAAATTAAAAGACAGCATCTCTGTCCTCAAGGAAGTCATACACAGGATAGACATGGGAAAACGTACAGTACAATGTGATACTTGCTATAATGGAACAATGTAGAAGGGAACCCAGAAAAGGTGAACGGTTAAGTTTCCTTAGAGAAGGCATCACTGAGGAGTAGGGAGTTTAATCCATGCTATAAGGAAGTGTAAGAGTTTGTCAGAGAACTAGAGTGTGTGATGGCCATATCAGGAAGAAATGGTATTCATAAATGCAACAGGCATAAAGGAAGCTACTCTAGTTGAGGAAGGATGAATAGTGCTGTCAAGAGTGTCTTGGATAAATAGGAAAATGGTGTCAGTAGGCAAGTACTGATTCATAGTGGACTTGTTTGCCATAGAAAGGTATTTGTTTTATCCTAGGAGTCAGTGGTTTCCAAATGTAGACTGGTTGGTCTAAAATTAAAATGATTTTGTAGGGTTGCCATTCTGGCTTTCATTTAGAAATTATCTCTCCTGGTTTTTTGGTATTAAAATGTTCTTTCTGTGAAATGGTAATAGTTATTGGCTTACTTGGCAGAACAAAAAGGAGAAAATGTTATTTAGGTCTCTACTTTTTTTCCTCATAATTTTGCTTATGTCAGAAAACTAGAAGTCTTGAAAGCTTCAAGTGGTGTAACCATTGAAGAACTTTAAGAGGGTTGTGATTTGATCAAGGTGTGTTGTTAGATGGGGTGAGGGTGGATAGGGAGTTCCTGGCTAATACTATCAAGGTTGATTTGAGGTTATGGCAATGCAGGATGAGGAGGGAGGAAGCTGTGATGAATTATAAGTCACTTAGGTGGCTGTTGCAGAATATATGTGTTCACTGCTGTGGGGCACCTCACCAAACTTCTGTCTACTCTGTAGAGATATGTTAAAAGTACTCTGAGATTGTAGACAAGTTTGATATCTAGAACATAGCTGTCGGTCATTTCTAGGGGGTGGTGTCTGGTTTTGTGGTAGTAAGCTATAGGGTCAAGGAAAAAGTTGAGCACAGTGCATGCTTTCTTCATTCTGACACATATAAAATCCTTCAGATGGTTTTATGATTGTAAATCATTCTGAGATCTTAAGCGTCGATTATTAACTTTGGTTTGAGATGTGGTTTATATTTTAATTCTACCCTCCAAAATAGACTTCAACTAAGGAACTTTTTGAAGATAATGGAGCTTGTATTATTTATTCCTGTCACGAATTAAGAACATTTTGAAAGCAGTGTGCTAGGCACAGTAGCTAATGGATTTAAAAAGCATTGCACATAGACTCTGCTCTTCAGAACAAGGGTTGGCAAACTATATCCTGTCTGATGCCTGCTTTAAAAAACGAAAAAGAATATGTGGTAGAGACCATTTGTGACCATCCAAGCCTAAAATATTTACTATCTGGTCCTTTACATAAGAAGTTTGCCAGCCTCTGCTTAGGAGTGTACCATTTAGTTTAACAATTTATTCTACTTTAGCCAAAGCTCTGTTACTGTGTAATTTAAGAATATGAGTTTTGACTTGGGTTCACAGCTCAGGTTTCCTCATTGATGAGCTATGTGAGCTTGAGCTAGTATCTTAACCTCTTTGAAAGTTATGTTCCCACATTCCTAGCTCAAGGTTGTTGTAAGAATTATTGGGACTGTGTTTTTATTGTCTAGGATTAGTGTTACGAAGTTTCTATCCATTGGGTAATGGAGGTTAGTTAAGCAACCGATAAAATGAGTAGCCAGGTTTTTGGTAATCTTCCCCAGTCATCCCTCAGTTAAACAGTGCAAGTAATACAAATAAGGAAAATCTGTTCTGTTTTACATTAAACAAATTATTCCAACATTGTTAATCAACTGTACTTCAGTAAAATATACTTAAAAAGTTGTTCCTCAATCAGCTATACAGACCTTACCAATCCATTTCAGAAATCGGACAATCAGTATAGCTCATTCAGTTTTTTTCCATCTTTGAAGTAGAGTGTAATATAAATTGTATAGCTGTCTAATCTAGTCCTTTTATGGAAACACTATTTTCTTTTTTTTCTTAACATTTATTTATTTACTTTTTTCGGTTGCATTGGGTCTTCATTCCAGCACGTGGGCTTCTCTCTCGTTGCGGTGCGCGGATTTTCTCTCTCCAGTTGTGGTGTGCAGGTTCCAGAGTGTGTGAGCTCTGTAGTTGCGGCTCGTGGGCTCTCTCATTGTGGTGGGCAGGCTTAGTTGGAAAGTGGATTCTTTACCACTGGACTACCAGGGAAGTCCCGGAAACACTATCTTCTTGTGTTTTCCTTTTATGTGCATGTAGGGAAATGGAAAGTGCTAAGTTTCTTTTTCCTATTTTTTTAGACTCATGATAGTAAAGAGCACCTGGCAATGATGGAACGTATGTTAGGACCCATACCAACACGCATGATTCAGAAAACACGGTATGCTTTTTAAGATTAAAGCCCTATATTGGGTACATGCAGTGGCCTATATTCAAAACTATAGAAAACCCATCTTTGTTGTTATTGCTTATTCCAAAGACTGTAGATTTTGAATTTTTTTTCATGAAGTCGTTTTTGAAAAGTAATGCAATATTTACTTTGTGATCCAGTAAATAAAGTGGTGTTTTTATACTCAAGGTAACCTTTGCATAAGTGTTTTCCTACGTTGATTTAAAAATAATACATAGAGTAGTAAAAAGAGCTTGATTTTGGAGTCATATCTAAGTTTGAATTCCAGACTGTTGCAAACCACATGTATGTCTTTGGACAAGAATACTATAAGTGGTTTCAAAACATAGCTTCACCACAGAACTCATCCAGGGAATTGTTAAAGATTTCCAGCCCCATACCAGATCTAGTGAAATCAGAATTTACAGGAATGGATCTAGGAACCTCTGTTTTTGAAGCTGGCATTGTTTCACTTATGGTATTTGGGAACAGCTTAGGTGGGATACTAAAACTTCAGAGGGTACAAGATTAGGAAAAATATCATATAAGGTAGCCGATATAATTATTGCTGAGATTTTTAGAAATTGTATGTTTATATATATAGAAAGAGAGATGTCTGTGGTTCCATCTTTTCCCCCAATCCCCTGGTGGGGGCAGGGCAAGCATGTGGGATTTTGGGGGGTTTGTTTTTTTTTTAATCCAGACGTCTCTTTCCTATAGGAAACACAAGTATTTTCATCATAATCAGCTAGATTGGGAGGAACATAGTTCTGCTGGTAGATATGTTAGGAGACGCTGCAAACCATTAAAGGTAAAGCAACAAAAAACAAAAAAGAAACTGTTTTAACTATTTTTTAATGTCTTTCTTAAACAAAGTCATTTTTCCCCTCAGGAATTTATGCTTTGTCATGATGAGGAACATGAGAAACTGTTTGACCTGATTCGAAGAATGTTAGAATATGATCCAGTGAAAAGAATTACCTTGGATGAAGCATTGCAGCATCCTTTCTTTGACTTATTAAAAAAGAAATGAAATGGAAATCAGTGGTCTTACTATACTTCTCAAGAAGAGATTATTTAAGACTGTGTCAGTCAACTCTAAACATTCTAATATTTTTGTAAACCTTAAATTATTTTGTACAGTTAAGTGTAAATGCTGTATGTTTTGTATCAATAGCATAATTATCTTGTTAAGCAAATATGGTCTTGATAATGAATGAAATATAAAAGCTAAAATTAATTTTCCTTTTTTGAGATTAATTACCATTTTTAAAGACCTTTGGAATATCTTTTGTGTCCAGCGATAAATGTGATTGATCTTGCTTTTTTGTACATGGAGGTTGACTCTTGGAAGTGATTTTTGTGTTTTGTTTTTTGTTTTTTTTGAGTAAAAGGAAATCTTGGCTACTTCATTCTTAAAAGAATATTCTTTATTTACCTCAAACTTTTCTTAGCTTTAAAAGTTTTTTCTGTAATTGTTGAACAGGTAATAAGTATTATTAACTCTAGGTAGGCAGGTATTAGAAACCAAAACCCATAGGAACTGTTTGCTGTTGGAATTTCATACTTACAATTGTGTTCTTTTTCATTGGGTGATGTCAGTGGTGGTAAGTAGCATTCATGGAAAGACATCCAACTTGTGCATCGTAATAGGTTAATAAAACCACATACACACTTCGTTTAAGATTAAAGTCTAACTGGAAAGTTAGCTTGGAAAGTCCTGTTTTCCAATGGCTATTTATGTAGTTAGTCACAAATGTAGAAATAGGAATTCTGATGACTGAGGTTTTTGTTTTTAATGCCAAATCTTCAGGAGTCTAGAAATTGTCCAATATCTGTTTCCTTACCATATGAAGTATAAATACTTAAACCTTAGCCTATGAGACTTTAAGGTTATTATTAAACAATTTGTATTTATGTTACTCTTTACTGGGAAAAAAAAAAAAAGATTTGATTGGAGAACACTTGGGAAGAAAACTGCAGAAATTTCCAGACCCTGATTGGTTAACATAATGAACTTTTTGTTTGTAGGTATTTTTTTCTGTTTACCTGTTTTCACATTAAAAACTACATGGTAAATATTAATTTAGTAAAAAAAAAAACAAAAACTATTGATCAGTCTGCCAGGTAAAAATGTTTTTTGTTGTAGATTTCATGATTGATTATCCAGATAAAGGTTTTTTGTTAAAAGTATTCCCATTTCTGAAGTGCATTACCAAAGATTTGAGTTTTATCTGTATTCTGAACATAAAATGCATGTAATTTTTTGGTATGACAAATAGTGATACCAAGGTGGGTTTCTCTACATGATCCGCTGGTAGCATCTGCACATATAGTAAAGCTATGTTCCTGAAGTTGACTAGGAATTTAAGAAAGCTGAAATTTTGCCATAGAATCACTGCATAAATTATGCTTAGGGCTCTGATGCAGCCTACATATGTTATATAACTACAGTCTACATATGTTATATGTTATATAACTATGTTATATGTTATAAGGTTTTTTTAAAGGAGCATTTGATGTAAAGAAAAGGTTTTTCCTTAACACAGCAATGTCGTTACAGAGATTAAGAAGTCAGCCATCCTTTATTTTCCTCTCCATTTCCATACTGCTGGTGCCACTCTACTACCTAAGCCTCCTGACCTTTCCCTACAAGTGCTCCAAGTTCCCAAATTAATGTTTACTTTCTCCCCCATCAGAAACTCATTCCTTTGGAGTAGCTGATCTCAGGATATAGGAGGAAAGAAAAATATCCACACTATTTCTTACTAAGAAGTTAATGATTGCTAACCCCTTTCCCTGCTGAAAAGTATTTACATTCTTCACTAAGGGTATTTGCTAGTTCCTAGGCCTAATTCATGGAAGGTTAGGAATTAAAGTGAAACTTCAGTGAATTAGGTAGGATAGAAGAAAAGTTTAGTGGTGAGGATGGTATCTCTGGTATCATATGAGTGTCTACTGCTAACCTTCCTTCCCATCTTCTGTGAACTCTCAGGTTCCTACTCTTAATTGCCTTTTTCCTTGTACTTCTGAACTCAATTTCTGAAAGCGCCAGGTTTTTATTTGACAGTGTTGGGAGCTTCAGCACTAACAGGAAAGGTTTAGAATGGCCGGTGTATAAATATGGATCGTTTGTAACTGGGTATTTTCCCTCATGATTTGGTGTCTCATAGATTACTATTTCTAGAAATTCCACTGACGTCAAACCTAGTTTTAAAAGTGCAGCTAAATAGGTTATTTCCAATGTTTTCTGCTACTGCTTATAGCTCAGGTGTTCTCATCCATGCATTCATCAGAATTTTTGGAGTAGACGAATAAAATTGACTTATCTTATCCAGTTGACAGTAGAAAAATACCCAGTGAAGTTTTGTAGTTCGTACAACTGAAAACTATTCCTCTGAATAATCTTGAAGGGCTAGATGCTAGAGAAATTAGAAGTGACTCAGCCACGACTCCTAATAATTGTGGCTGAATTGTGACTTAAACTCAGGTATCCTAGATTCTAGCATTGTGCATTCTTGTGATAATACAACTTACTGAGTTAAAAACTTAAGTTTGATTCTTGTTCATGGTTCTGTGAAATGGGATGAAATGAATGTAATGGCTAATAGTTTAATTACTTGGATTCAGTTTTTCTCACGTTTTTCTTTAGTAGTTGATACATAGCTTCAACCATCAAAATGGTTAAAATGGTATGATAATTTGAAAATATACTCTGTTTTAAGTAGATAGGCAGATAACCTGTATTTAAACTTATCTTGACATCCTGGAATGAAGAAACACTTTGTCAGCGTGGCCTGGCTTTTTAACTCATTTCCAGTTTGAAATTTCTGATTCCCACAAAATTTGGTGCAAGTAAGGTATTTTAAATTTAAACATCCAGGGACTTCCAGGGTGGTGCAGTGGTTAAGAATCCACTTGCTAATGCAGATGATGCGGGTTCGAGCCCCGGTCCAGGAAGATCCCACATGGCGTGAAGCAACTAAGTTGGTGTGCCACAACTGCTGAGCCTGAGCTCTAGAGCCCAAGAGCCACAACTACTGAGCCCATGTGCTGCAAGTACTGAAGACGGCATGCCCATGTGCTGCAAGTACTGAAGACCGCATGCCCGTGTGCTGCAAGTACTGAAGACCGCGTGCCTAGAGCCCATGCTCCATAAGAGAAACCACCGCAATGAGAAGCCTGCACACCACAACGAAGAGTAGTCCCCACTCACCGCAACTAGAGAAAGCCTGCACGCAGCAATGAAGACCCAACACAGCCAAAAATAAATAAGTTTTAAAAATTTTGTAAATTTGAACATCTAGTACTTTGTTTAACAAACTGCATTTTCAGGAAATTCCCTGGTGGTCCAGTGGTTAGGACTCTGCTTCCACTGCAGGGGGCACTGGTTCAATCCCTGGTTAGGGAACTAAGATCCCACATGCCAAGCAACCAACAACAAAAAAAGGCGACCTTTTCAAATAGAACAGAAGAATTCATGAGTCAATAACAGTATTAATAACATCAGTAATTGTTGGCTTAGTAGATTGCACGTTTGCAAATAAATAGGTAGAAATAATTTTAATTCTTAAAAGTTGATCATTTGATCACGATTTTTGAGAAGTTGCTATATCCAGCTAAATCCTTAATCTAAAGTTTTGTTTAGTTGGTTAATTGGTTTTATTTTTTCCATATTTTTATAGAGGGAAGGTAAAGTTTTAAGTCAGGTTGGCTTTATAACTCCTTGGCCAGTCCAGCCTTTGCGGCCAGTTTTATGTTAGTGATTATTAAAAATAAAATGCAAAAGTTGAATAATGAACCTCTATATATAGCCCAGCTTAAAAAATTAAAAACATTTTGCAAATTTTGTTTAATCAGTTCCCCAACTTATTTTCCTGTTGCATTTAAGTACAAATGTCAGATACCATTTCATCCATATTTCTGTACTGTATATCTTTTAACGTGAGTTTTTAGTGCCAGTATCACACCTAACAAAATAATTCCTTATCTGGTAGAGTCTATAAAGTTTCATGATTGTCTAAAGAGTTATTTTAAGTTAGTTTGAATCAGTACCGAGTCAGGGTCCACACATAGCTAATTTGTCTCAGATCTCTTAATCACTATGTGCCTTTTTTTCTCCCCTTTTTATTTCTTTGCTAATTGAAACTTGGTCATTTGTCTTTAGAGAATTTCCCATACTCAATATTTCATTGGAGTGGTGTCCTTTCCTCTAGTCCCCACTTATCCTGTAAACTGATAGTTAATGAAGTTTTTTAATAGTATTCCTTCTGATAAATACAGAAGGGATGTTAGAAATACACTGTGTTGCTACTCTTTATGAAATAATATATTTGGGCACCAATCATCAGTGGATGCTAAAACCATGAGGGGAAAACTGATGGAGAACTTTATAATGAAGGGATCAGGCTGAATCTCAGGTTGGCAACCAGATGGATGTGTTGATATGCGTCTGAGGTGATGCAGTAGGAAATACACAGCACCTGTGGGGTATCACTGCCTTTAAAACAAAAAAATTGAATTTGGATCTAGTCAAGCCTGTAGATTGAAATTGAAATACAAAGAAGCATCCCGACCCTTTTTGTTCATTTCTTACCTATCTGTTAATTCTTTGGGATAGCAGTTCAATGAATTAAAAGAGCTCAGACTTCTTACCAGCATGGTTTCAACTTTAGTCCCAGGTCTTCTCTGTGTTTGGAGGAGTAAGTTACTTTAAAGTAACTACACTTCCTTACTTGGAATTACTTAGGGATAATATCTGTTATCCAATAGCCAATGCAGGGGACACAGGTTCAATCCCTGGTCCGGGAAAATCCCACATGCCGCGGAGCAACTAAGCCCGTGCGCCACAACTACTGAGCCCACGCACTGCAACTACTGAAGTCCATGCACCTAGAGCCCCTGCTCTGCAACAAGAGAAGCCACAACAGTGAGAAGCCTGCGCACCACAACTAGAGAAAGCCCGCTCGCAGCAACAAAGACCCAACACAGCCAAAAATTTTTTAAAAATGTTTTAATCTAGCAGATTACCTGGCTTTTAGTAGTCCCACTAGTCAATAGCAGTTAAGTACTTTGTTTTCTATAAATGCGTTAACCCCTAGTAAATAGCAGTTACTTTACTTTCTATAAATGCTTTAACCCAGGTGACTTCATATTTTTTTTAAATTTTCCCAGTAATGTTGGTTGTTCCTCTTTAGGGCACCAGGAATTACAAAACTATCAAGAATTCTACTTTTTTACAGGCTCCGGACGCGCAGGCTCAGCAGCTATGGCTCACGGGCCTAGCCGCTTCGCGGCATGTGGGATCTTCCCGGACCGGGGCTCGAACCCGTGTCCCCTGCATCGGCAGGCGGACTCTCAACCACTGCGCCACCAGGGAAGCCCAAGAATTCTACTTTTGATTCCCTATCATAGCAGTTTTTATTGCTACATTTCACTGAAACTGGAAGGGGGAATAGAATTTTCAAAGAATTTTTCTTTTTTTAACCAATCAAGAATGGTCAACTATTCAGATGTATTTTCTTACATTCACTCCTTTCCTGGTTTTAGTTTGTTTTTAAATGTTGCAATTCTGGGGAGAAGTTATATATAATTAAAAGACTTTAGCATAGATTTAATTGTAAAGACTTGAAACCATCCTAAATATCCCAAAGGAGCAGACACCTCATAGGTCTAGTTCTTTAGATACTATCAACAGCAGTTACATGTAATGAGATTAAAGATTAATTGTAGATTTGGAGGAGTTCCCATGCACCCCCTCCTCCCAGTGACTTAAAATGTTTCCCATTACAAATATAAATGAAAAGGTTTTTTTTAACTTAAAAAAAAACAGTGCTGCTTTTTTTTATCATGAGCTTTGAATTTTATTATTTTTAATTTTTTTGCAGTACGTGGGCCTCTCGCCGTCGCGGCTTCTCCCGTTGTGGAGCACAGGCTCCGGACGCGCAGGCTCAGCGGCCATGGCTCACAGGCCCAGCTGCTCCGCAGCATGTGGGATCTTCCCGGAACGGGGCACGAACCCGTGTCTCCTGCATCGGCAGGCGGACTCTCAACCACTGCACCACCAGGGAAGCCCGAGGTCCCTCCTAATGTGTATTCCACATCCTGAAAGATGGCACTGCAGTCTTTTAGCATATTGTTTCTGAATACTCTGAGTTGGTGCTTCACCTGTGCCTTCAAAAGGCAGTTCCAGT